AAGCCCTTGCAACCTTTCCTCTACGACCTCTGTGACCGAGGCTTTAACTGATCTTCACAGTTCTTGCTGACTCATTTTCTATTGCTTAACTATCTGAGTAATTGACTTTTGTATATTTAAGAATTCTTTATGTAACTCTTGAAATTTCCCAAGCAAATGTGTCACAAATTAGTGTCTGAAGTAAATGGAAAGAATACAGTAGCTCACATTTACCAAAAACAACATGAGCCAGAAATATCAAAACAGTCTGGATGAACCTGAACTCCTTAATAGCTAAACGCATAAAAATGTAGAGAGAATGAAGTCATCTGATATGGTGGAGAGTGGATGTAAAACAGTTTAGCTGAAATGCCTACAACGTGCGAGTGGTGCCGTGTTTTTGGCATGAGGTCATTGTTGCTGTCAACTCCTCTAGACTGAAGCCATCTGTTGAGAGGACTGAATCAGAGCGAGGTGCTGCCTCCTCCAGCTGTTATCTGCTCCATAAACACACAGCCCCACGGCTGCTCTCACTGTGACTCACTGATGACAACACTGCAAGAATCACTGAGACGCCACAAACAGCCTCACAAAGCAGAAGCTCAGTGTCGTAATGCAGCGTATGACTTATCCATGCATCAGTTTCCCGTATGGAAACTCCTAGTGGAAAACCACTTGTTACACTGACAAGGAAGTGTTTTTGCTTTTACATTAAAGCTCACAAAGATTCACAAACTTGTCAAGCATCTGTTGAATTGCCTGATGGCCCCTTGTTGTTTTAACAAAGCTACTTTGAATGGTAACTTCAGCTTCAGGTCTTTGGAGGCCAAAACATGTCTGGCCTCATTCGGAACAGAAACACCCCCTCAGACTGCAGTGTTCATAAATTAATTTTCAAAATCAGAGAGAGAGACTTGACGGCAGCAAGAAATACACACAAGAACTGTAGATTTGTTTCAAATTCACTCTCTAAGAACAGCTGGGGATGGTTAGCCTTAAAGGGATCCTGTGAAGAGTTGGATTGTCTGACAAGCAAAAGCTACTAACTAAGAGGAGACTAACTGTTTGTTGAGGTATTTCAATATAGATCAATGACATCTGCAGGTCATAGAAATACCACAGAAATCATAGAACCATGGAAAAGTCCCTCAAGCTTTGCTTTCTATCAACCACTGCAGGAACAAGTAAAGTTATTATCATGGTGAATATAACTGACGGCAAACAATATTCATGTTGTAAAATTCAATCTGTCTTTGAGGACTTGTTTCAATAAAATAATATAATAATTCTCAACTAGTTTGGTCATCTTTGCAGACAACAGCAAACAAATAAAACAGATGACAGTGGATGATTCTACTCCGTTGCTCACAGTCGAATCTGCAGAAAAATTAATTAGAAGTAGTCCTAAATTATTTAAAACTAAAATATTCTGTATGACTATAGCAGAACAAGATGGTATATTGAGATTTTGGGCCTCATACAGCCCGAGTAAACCCAGTTTCTGGTGTGAAAATGGATGAATTTAATGTCAATAATGCAGCACTGATTGTAATTAAAACACTTTAGGACACAACGATCTTCAATAATGCTACAATGTAGGCACGTTCCACCGTCCTCAGAGGTGTTCTGAAGCACGTTGGCGAGCTGTAAGGATGTTCTAGAGGTCCAGTTTTGCAGAATTGCCCGTCGTTTGCTGCAGAAATTTCTCTCTCTCCACCCACCCTAACCTATTTGATGCAACTTTGTTAAACTAATCGACACTACACAATGGCAAGTAGTAATATTGGATTATTTCTGTCATTTATTATCATTTATTATGTCATAAATGTTAGAACAAGAAACTGGTTTGTTGTGTAAAAAAAAACCCTGCAAGACTGAATCAGTGTGTTGAGACTGTCATCAGTACACTGCAGTGTGAAGGTGGAAATGCTCTGCCATGGTGTTGGCTGCTTATTTCACTCATGATGTCTCTTCTGACAGCAGTTAACACAGAAGCTTTCTGGCAAGTTAATGTTTGTCATGTTAATGAAGGAAATCTGCAGATTGCAAAGCTTTTACTTCTCACTACAGCTTACACAGCACAGAACCATCTCTGTTTATCTCGTGTATGTAGACATGTGATGCCCCCATTATTATTCTTCACCACAGCTCTGTTTGCTCAAATTTGTCTCCAAACTGCAGAAAACAATGACCACAAGACCACACCTACTCAAATCACTGAGCAGGTCAGACATATGTGTGGTGATGCAGAGTTCTGTATCCTCTGAATGTCAGAGGAATCACATCCCACTGATGTCACAAGTCACTGGTGTAAGAACAGTTTCACATTTAGGAAATACAGCCATCCCTTTCTGGTGGAGAGTGAGATGAGTGGATTCATACCACACCTGGATCTGTCCCTTAAAAATAATGTTTTTGTATGGAATAAACTAACAAGGGATGACATGTTAATTACTGATGTTTAGAAGTTCTAGCAGATGGACTTTGTTTGGCCTTGAGAGGGAAAGGTTAGCTGTTTGTCCTTCTTTCTAGTGTTTATGCTAAGCTAAGCTAACCAGCTGCCAGCAGCTGCCTTTCACGGAAAGGTATGAAAGTCACATTGTTATTATCACCAAACTCTCCAGAAATGATATTTCCAAAAATGTCAAACTTTTCTATGAAGCCAAAATTAAGTAGAGCTTCAATTTCATTAATTGATTACTGATAAAATATTTGTCAACTTTTTTGGTTATTAATCAGTTTGGGCAATAGTTTGGGAAAAAAGTAATTTCAGTTTCTCTGATTTCAGCTTGTTAAATGTGAATATTTTCTGAGTGCTTTCCTCTTCTGTAATATTAAACTGATTAACTTGGAGTTGCTGACAAAACAAAACATTCGTCATCTTATTGCTTTAGGTAGCCCTGATTGACAGTTTTCACTATTTTCTGACATTTTATGGACCAAACAACTAATTAATTAATTAAGAAAATGATCAACAGATTAATCAATACTAAAATAATCCTTAGTTGTAGCCCTAAAGTCAAGTTGCAAACTGCAACACACAGCACTACAGCAAAGAACTGAAGAACAGGAGGAACATATTTTGTGTTCAAACACAAGATACTACTGCACTTTAGACCCAGAAACCCTGTGACACAACAATCGGTTCACCCCAGGGGTAAAACACCAACACACCAACGTTATAGATGCAGTCCAATGCAGGGAGGAGTGCACAGACTTGTACATAGAATAGACCAAACAACAGCTTCACAAGCACATGGCTCAACAACAGAGCAGCTCCTCAGGACAAGACTCAGCTTCCATCTGAAGAATAACAGGGAACGAAGTCATGTGTGCTGGACTATAAGCTATATGCCTCTGCAACTCCCCATCAGACCGTTAGAACTCAGGAAGCCTCTTGGATGAGAGGTGAAAGGTCAAGAACCTAAAAGAGAAGTCAAGTTACTTTCTAGTGAGGCTCCTAGGATTAACATGACCAGGATGACCGAGAATCTACAAAGAAAGATGTTGCCTGAGCTCTCCTTTACTTCAGCAAAAACTAATGACTTTATGTGGAATTTAGTTGCTGCCCCTTATTAACAGTGTTGGTTCAATGTGTCATCTGCAATGTCTCCAAGCCAAGTCAGCCAAGAATTTATTACTCCAAACATCAAATGTCTCCAAAGACAAAGCATCTTCCCATTACATTCTGAGTCAGCAGAATGAGCTGTTATCATCTGTGGTAAAAACTCCCAAAAAGTCACACTAGAACTTGACACAGAATGAAAAAAAGCTTCCTTTTTAAAAGACAGGACGTGCCACCACCCGTGAGCACCCAGAAGACAAAAGAGGGACTCAGGAGACCTTTCACCTCTGACACCGGTCACTGATACCACTTCCCTTCTCAGTGAAACAGAGCAGCCTCGACTGGTCTGTAAATGTGTTCAACACACTGAAGGAAGCACAAAACAGATTTTAATATGACTCCTTTGTTCTTATTCATTCATATGAAGGGAGGTGAGGTGATTCAAATCCCCACAAAAACCTGTAGGACCCAAAACACCCCCATTCCACTGTTCCCATTTAGAAAAACGTGTAACACACACACACTTCAAATGTGGAAACAACCCCCTTTGTCTTTATCTGCAAATATGACATGCTGGAAATGCTCAACAGTCGTCCTCCTCATGTTTCACATGTGAAGCTGAAAAAACTGAACTAAACTCACTGAGTGAAGTATGTGAAAGGTGTGTGTGTGTATGTGTGTGTGTGCCTGCGTGGTATTTAAATATTAACCTGAGCTGCTCTTTTCTGTATGAAACCAACAGAAACCAACAACACAAATAGAAAAAGATCAATGCATACCTCATCAGGTTTTGTAAACCTGCTTTGCTGGAGTTTCTCCTCACCAAGGCGTTGGACATGTTGGCCTCTTTTCTTCTTCTACTACTTTTAAACGTTTCTTCTATTCTCTAGAAATAAAACAGATCACACAGGCCAGTGAGATTAGCTTTCTCCTCTATTTCTTCTTTTCCAAACTGACTGTCTGTCTTGCAGTCGTACCGAAGCCCACAGCTCAGATTGTGTATGTGAGAGAGTGTGTGATATATATACCGGTAAAGACTCTTCACACACACACTGTCCTGTTGTTGTACGTCCCACACTGTTCTCTCCCCTGCAACGCTTGTTGGAAATGTCAGCGAAGCTCATAGGCACTCCCTCCCCTCCCTCTCGGAGGCTGGGTTTTAGTCATTACACTCCCCCCTCCTCACACACACACACACACACACACACACACACACACAGACCTCACCCCCTCCCTTTGTCCTACATGTGGTTTTCATTGAAGAACTCAGTGTAGCGGGGCTCAACATCTCTCTCTCCTCTCTCTGTTTTTTCTTTCTTTCTTCTCTGCATTTCTCCATTATCCCAGGTCATGTGGTCTTCCCTGAGGGGGAATGAAAGGCGATACCCCCCTCCCCGACAAAAAAAAAAAAAAATCTACTACTGAACCATCCTGACCCCTCCCCAACATTTCAATTTCCCTCCGATAGCCGGGCAGATTAACAGACAACAGCAGGACGAGCCTTAACTGAAGCAGTGATATCAGATTGTAAAAATACTTGACAAGCCCACATTCAAATATTGCTTTAAGTTAAAAAAAAAGATCAGCAGTAAAATGCAGACAAATGTCAAAAACTGAAGTAGTGACAGAAGAGTTTTGAAGTGGGTGAACAGTGATGAGAACAGCATTTGCTTCAGTCAGTGCCCTTATAACAATTAAACGTTTACATAAGTATACATACTCTATGTTTAAATGACAGCTGCAGTAATTAGAACTCCTGCCAATCAGGAGCTAACGTCACAAGCTCCTGCAGAGGGATGCAGTCAGGGTGGATGGGTGGGTCAACCAAACCTTACAACCACTAATTAAATCTAAATGTTTTCATAAAACCTAGATAAGTGGTTGTTGTGCCTAAATGTAAGTGTACCTTAGCTATAGCAGTGGAACATCAGAAAACTGTTTTAGTTCTGCAGTACTGATGGCCTCCTGTTGATGGGGATGTGAGTTTAGAAATGCTGACACAGCAAAGAGTCACAACATTATGACTGTAGTCAACGTGTTGGATGTTGGTGAGAAATGGGCTGAACTGAGTTACTACAGTATCAGTATGTGATGGCCATTGGGTTAATTATACTTTCCTGAGGACGCATGCCTGATCAGCTGCGGACACCATCGTCACCATGGTAACACAGTTGTTATTACACTACTTTCTAGGCTACTTGAAGGACATGCTCCACAAATGCACAATACATTGGCTTCTACATATTATGTGCATTTATGTTTATGTCATGTACTGACGTCAGGAAGGCTACAGTCTCCTCTATCACAGCGTACAGATAAAATGCTTTTTTTGATGTCTTCAATCAGATGTTTTGTGCATATCTGGATTTATTTGCTTCCATGGTTGATGTTTTTCAAGTGGACTATGTTGCATTTATATTGAATTTCCCTTCGGGGATAAATAAAGTATTTTTCATTTTTATTTTTTGTGACACAGGTTCAGATTCAGATTTATGAAGAACAGAGGTGGCTTAAAAAACAGATCCACTTCCTAAAATAAAAAGCTCTTTTTTGACTTTACCAGTACATGTAATATCATCCAGATCAGTCCAATTCATAGGCGAGCTGTTGCTGGGCACACGCATGTCAGGAATTCTGTCTCTGCCCTTAACTCCCCAACAAACAAACTCTGCGTTTTTGTCTCGCCCACCCCTCCCAAAACCCTTACACATATTCAACAAACCGCCATTACTATGGTAACCACTCAAGTAAGTCTTGCTTGGTGGCACGTTAGACAAAAGGACATTCCGGGAAGAGTATTCATGGCGTGGACGACCCCCTTCATGCTCAAGCTCATAAAACAGAGCTGCACTTTCCACTGAACCCTGGCTGACTTGAACACAACCTTGACACTCAGACACAGAATGCAGGCATCCAGCTGCTCAACAGCTTTGCCCAGTCTGCACCTGCAGTAATTTTTTCTCTTTAAAAATAAAAAATAAAAAATCATAATATCCAGTGGTGGGTCGTGCATTTTACTCCTAGGCCTTCAGTGGCGTCCTACCTGAATCAAATCACCTCTAAACACCGTCATTATGATGCCACGGCTATAGAAACCATCAGCATTATACAGGAAGGCAGCATAACAGGATGTTCCATCGCAGACACGTATCTCATGCAGCCAGAATGAATGCATCACTAAAGCAAGTCTCCTTTTACTGCAGCCACAGCTGCACCACATACATCACATCAAGCAGAAGCATCAATTTTAACCCAATAAAATGACAAAAATATATATTTTACTAACCAAAACTTGTGATTATTTGAACATAAACTCCATCCTCCTTTCTTTCCTCACGAGGAGTTCAATCACTTTGTTGAGCAGCTAATCCGAGCGTTTCACTTCCAACAATAAGTCCTGTTTTATCACCATGGAGGCTAACGCTGAAAGTCAGGTCTGTCCAGTCGTGTTTCTGGCTTAAGTTTTAATTCGCTGGAGGGCTGAGAATGTCCGCTTGCTTAACTTTTAAAAAACAAACAAACAATATATATATATATACTTTTACGATCTTGCTTGTGCAGGTTGCTACAGACAGGAACCGCGAGCTCTTGCTAAGCTCTCTGACCATCCAATCAGAGGATGTGAAAGTACTAACATTACCGTAGGCCAGCTAGCTTTCCCTGACACCACCAACTCAAAATCTGATTGGTTGAAGCAACAGTTTCATTGCAATTCATTTTAAGCTACAGACGCCTGCACTTTTGATTCCGAAGGCCTCAGGGCAGATTTCTGTGACCCTGGCAACACATGATGGCTGAAATACAGAAACCCGCAGAGAGTGGAGGGACTGCTGTGTGTTTGCTTTAACAGAAACATGGCTCCATGACAACATCCCAGACGGACATACAGCTGGAGGAGACGACATTATTCCGGGTAGACAGACAGCTAGATCTGGGCAGCATCTGCGGCTTCACCATCGTCACACCATCGTGTGTGTCTTTGTGTCCCTGAAGACCTACCAGGACCTGAAGAGGTTTGCCATGTTCAATGAATGGCGGTGCGCATGGATGTAGCGCCCCCTTCAGGAGACAGCGAGATTGCCTATCCAAGACGTGCATTCTGCAAAATTTAAATGATCCTGAAGAAACGCTCTCTCATCTTGCCTGCAGTACTGTGTGTGTACAGCAAAATGACAATAAACCTGATTTGATTTGATATGATTGGATAAAAGGGCTGCAAGGTGGCGCAGTTGGTAGCACTGTTGCCTCGCAGCAAGAAGGTTGTCGGGTCACGTCCCGGTGTGGACACCGGAATCTTTCTGAGTGGAGTTTGCATGTTCTCCCTGTGCAGCGTGGGTTCTCTCCGGGTTCTCCGGCTTCCAAAAACATGTTGAGGTTAATTGGTGATTCTAAATTGTCCGTAGGTGTGGATGTGAGTGTGCTTGGTTGTCTGTCTCTAAGTGTGGGCCTGCGATAGACTGGTGACCTGTCCAGGGTGTCCCCTGCCTTCACCCTAAGTCGGCTGGGATATTCTCCAGCCCCCTCCCTGAGGATTAAGCGGTGTATAGATAATGGATGGATGGATGATTGGATAAAAGCTCTAACATGAACACACACTGCTGGAAGCACCACAGCCCAGATGAAATGAAATGAAGACAATAGACTATTGGGAATAATGTAAAAAGATTAATGGGAAAATTGCAACGTTAGTCAGTGATTCTGATGGAGTTTAGGCCAGTGACGGCTCACCACTGATAACATCATATTCAGTGACCTGAAGCTGCGAAAAGGATTTAGTAAAATGAAGGGGGGGGGGAGCCTGTCTGAGTTCTGATAGAAAAACTGTTGGTGTAACATATGACCTGAAGACAAAAGTCAAGGTCACACTGAAGGTCTTAAATTATCACAAATTTTAAATTCATTATAACTTGGAAAAGGTGTCAGATAAACACA